ACTCGCAAGTGTCGCGTCCCGTCACGTAACGTAGCGGTGGCTTGATGAATATGCTGTCGTTTTGACGTCGACAAACAATCAGCGTTGATTGGGCTGCCATTTGCGTCGTTTTAAAATCACACCACTGTCGGAAGGGTTGCCCTGCTTCCCCGTAGCTATACCCCACGGAATTCGACTTGAATCGTGATGAATATGGAAAACTATACTGCCGCGCTCAGTAAAAAGGCCCTATGAACTTTCAGACGTTGTCAAATATCCTTTGATATAAAATGAATTTTCGGGGATATCTACTGATATTTTTTCCGATATTTTAGAGATTTTCATTCGCGATCAGATCTAAACAATCTAAATACTTTAACAGAAGTTATTAATAACTTTCCCTAAAAATAAACATTTTATCAGAGGAAAGGCAACTCTCGAATGCGCATACAGCGTTTTTCCTTCGCATGATAGTATAATGTTTGTTACCTTATCGTGCACCCAAATTTGCTAATAAAACTCACAATTATTGGTGTAGTTTCAAAGAGGTAACCGATTCGTCTGAGCTACACTATTGAGAACTAACTATTTTACATTTTAGTAACAACATAAGTGCCATTAGTTTTTTATTGGTACAGTGTATCATAAAATTTTGAAAGATCCATCACATTAAATTGAGTTATTTTCTCAATGCATGCCCATTCATTCCAAATTTCTTCGTTCAAAAGACGAAAAAATGTAAGTACGTTTCAGTGTTACGAAATGTACACTCACGAACTGTATTTCTATTAGGGAACATTTGGCGATTAAGGCCTGAAATATTCACGGAATTTTCATTTGGTTCAAATGAAGAAAATGTTTGGTTAAAAATTGCGCGATCGTATTATTTTATGTTCATCGTTTGGATAATAATCAATCATCATACACTTCATGAGTATCTTTACTGACGCGATAAAGCTATGTTAGGGCCTATAACTCCTTCATGCAACTATTCGTGCTCGAAGGATGTCCGTATTGCATAAACGCACATTTGAAGGCGCTCTGCGTGTCTTGCCGCCTAGCAGGAATAGTAAGAATTCGCGCATTTTTCTTGTCACTTGAGCGGAAACGCCTTAACCTGAACGTTGTCATATGAACGTCTTGTGCATGTCATTCTATTCGGTGTTCACCACCATTATATATTATTTACTGGGTTTGGGTGGGTTGAGTATCGTGATCATTACTTCTCTCCTTGTTCCTACATACCCAGATGAAGAGCAATTCCTAATGTTTCATCAAAAATTGAAATACTGATTTCTTTCTATCAGAATTAACTCCGGCTGCTTGGTGCAGAGAAATGCCCAAAATGCAAGATAAGACAGCTTGAAAGCTTCCAATAAAACTTTATGTTGATAAGAGTTAATTTAAAATTGTGAATCTGCAATGTTTGAGTCAATTTATGCAATGGAAATTTAGTTTTAAACTTTTATTTATTGGCACGGAGGAAATCTAAACAACTCGTTATTCATTTTCCTAGATAACTAAAAGCGTTTTTCACAGAAAATTCAAGCACCGATTCCTCGATCCAAAATTCTATAAAATCAGATTCCCGGGAAAATGTTTGAATTATGGCCTTCTTCCGCGTAGCTTGTCATGTATAAATTAGAGTTACGATTATGCAAAATTTACATTGCTCGCAGGAAATATTATTCATCTGAAATATATTTTTGCAAGTTTAAGATTCTACATTTCGAATTGCTTTTATAAAAATGTATCGATGCAGAAAACGATGTCCCCCATGGTTAATGTGGCGGGAAGTTGATGTGCGATCTGGTCTCTGGCGCTCGGAAACCGATCTTATCGTAGCCTGACATGATTTACACCGGTGTACAGTGTTCGAATACAGATGATTGATCGCATTTACGACCATTAACAGTGGCTCGTCATGCTTTGGGATGAATCGATTAATCTGTCATTTAAACCTATGGAAAAGAATCGACTATCGGGGTTTATCTTAATAATCGATTCTTCACAATAGCTTCAAATGGGAAATTAACGATAGCTGATGATTCAAGCTTTGCAAGTGACGAAGAAGGACAAAAGATCACCACACAAATAATGGACATTTACAAGGAAAATTACGAGTTTACAGGACGGTAATATCAATTGCGGATGAGGTTTATCGAGTGAATGAAATTCTTGATGCAATGGGTTCATGAGGCTCACATAGGGTGTAGCTAATGAAATGGACGGCAGGAGTTTTAATTTGGGGCGGGGGGTCTTTTGAATCAAAACAATGTAGCATTTATTAACGATGTCTCCAATGTTGTGACACAGGTCTGATTCAACCGATACCGCATGATGCTTGATTCATTATGAGTGAATCGGTTGTTTTCAAAACGGGAACAAGTCTGATTTTTTATGAGACCTAAAGTGCATTCATGTACATGTAAACTAGGGCTCATCTAAAATTAGACTTGCCTCCTTTCGGAAACGACTGATTCAAATTTGGATTCATGTACCAAGTTGTCATATTTCCCGTATTGATATTCAATAATAGTTGAATAATGTTGAATATTCGGTTGCATGAAACGCAGATCCGCCTACCCTACTTAAACGTAGCCCAATTACTTTTCATGTATGAGTTTCTGATAAAAAACCAACAAAAGTTCTAATTTTAAATTTGATATCCTTCTCCATATGTTCCTGAATAAATGCACAAATGAGAATTGCAAGGCGTTATTCTGATCAGATTTTGGCTCAATAAGTAAAATATGAGAGGAAATCAGGAAATTTCGGTTAACTTCAGTCTCATTTCTTTCGGTCATTTAGGCCTGGATGCTGCAACAATTAGATGGAATTGCATGGGAAGTTTAGAAAAAACACATTTAAAAAGCTCTGCTGCTGACATCCAATCCTCTTTCTTTTTACTTATCTCATTCCCTTCCCTGCTTCCTATAATTCCTGTTCATATTAGTATTTCTGTTCTTTCTCCTCTCTCCACACTTCTCAGGTTTTCTCCCTCATTATTGCCATCTTCATACCCCTCTTTTAATATATTCTTTTTTTTTTACCTTTTTTTCGTGCAATTTCTAATCCGTCCCCATCTGACGTAGTCAGGAGTCCTGCGATCTTGGTCCGTCATAATGGGATTAAATCCCAGTGGCGAGTCGTAAATGATCGATTATCGACATTTCTCCTTTTGAAGCTGTAGTAGAATCGATTATTAAGGTTTCCGTCGCGAACACCCGTTTATCGATTATTTTTCATCGGTTTGAATGACAGACCTATCGATATATCGCCACGCCACTGATTACATCCAGTAATTTATTTTATGCGTTCAGTACGCGTGCATATAAAAATCCTTACTTTCGCACGTGTTCCCGTCTGTTTGGACGTATTTCTGCCAGACGGAACTATACCTAAGCTAACTCTTAAAGGATGCCAGTCATTCTTGATTTGTTGGAGAGCCTTCAATTTCGTATGATACTGTGCAACATTTCTGTTGTGTATAGTTCCTTAATAAGGCGCCGAAGCACGCTGCGGTAGGCGGCCGACCAGCGCGCAACGCGCCTACAAACCCAAGGGGATACTCCACGCATTGCGTAATGCGTGAAGTATCCCTGTTAGGTTTGTAGGCGCCAGTGCGTGTTTCGCGTTGGCAGCACGCCTCTCCCCTGTGTTAGGCTTTAATATTTGAACTCGCGGAACTAGCGTTTTTCAACTCATGATTTTGAAATGTTTGCACACTTCTGCATTGATTATTCTCATTTAAATTGATGGAAAAAGTATACGCATTAAACGACAGTTGGACGTATGTCTGCCAAACGGAACTATGCGCATTATGACGTGATACCTGTTATGCATAAATTGTTATGGGTCTCAGGGCTCATGTCTTAATGCACATAGTTCCGTTTGGCAGAAATACGTCTGTTTCTGGGACAGAGCAACACCCGCAAGAGATGACACCACTGTTGCTCGGTATAGAGAGCTGTTGACTCCCGGAAATAAACAAATGGACAAAATCGGGACATTTGCAACAAAGAACAAACATCATAATGGTGAAAAAGACACGGAGTGCATAAATTACCAGTATAAACGAGAACCTCTGTGTTAAAACCGCGCACGCCTATGTATGATGAACCCTACAGTATATGCGATCTTACGGAGCTCGCGGCTCATGAAAATTGTACTTGTGCGGTTTTGACATTGACCGATCCGAACAGCCGAACGAGCTCCCGGGATTTAAGTTTCAGCTCGCGCCCTCATTATTCATAATTAATGCGAATGATTTATAAGCGTCGGCGCCTTTACAAAGGATGTCCCAACTTTTTAAAGCGACTGCGAAAATACTCGGCATAACTCTTGCAAGACGTACAACTTTTCTTTCTTGCGCTCAGCGCGGATTCCATCGCGCATTCTTGGTTGTATTTTCCGCTATTTTGAGTATACTAACGTCTCGAAGTTCGATCTTGAATCGATCTTCTGCACGGAGAAAAAAACTTCGTGCGTGGGACCCGAAGTTGAGGTCGTATGGATTTTTGAAGCTTTCGGATCATGTATCTAAAAACTTAAGGCCCAGCTGCCGAAGTTTGGATCAGACATCTGAAGTACTTCGATGTATACCGATGTATATAAGGGTTCGGGTCACACATTAGAAGTACTCCGGTACATGCCGAGGTGCCTCGATATCTGACCCGAACTTCGGCAGCTCGACCTCAAGTTTTCAGATGCGTGATCAGAAAACTTCAGAGATCCATATGACCTCAACTTCGTGTCCCATGCACGACGTTTTTTTCTCCGTGTGTGACAGGTTAAAAAGATATGAATAAACGTTTTTTCTTCTTCTTTTGTAAATGGATAATTTTCGAAATCAATAGGATCATTCAGACTTTTTTGATGTGCCAAACGTGATTTTTGTGTGACTTTATCCGTAAAGAGTATATTTATTTAGCTATATATTCCTTGCGCGTAACAGACCCTTTTAGCAGTCTCAGTAATTATTTTTCTTTCATTTGGTATTGTATTTTATCATGTTTCAGATCTCCCGAGGATGTGACTTACCGGGTGTCAGGATGCAGACACGTAACCTAGCTGCAGTGATGGTGTGAGCAATGCAATATGTTCAACATTGAGTATGGAGGTAAGTCATTGATAATGTCCGATTTTTCTTTCAAATTTGTTTTATATAAACATAAAATTTCTTCTAACAATGCATTCTGGTGTTCTGCGACACCCAAACGCCATATGTGCCTATCCTCCCAAAGGTTTTTGGGCAATTGGCAAAGCAACACCTCTTCGTCAACGCCACCGTAGCAAGTATCGTGCTGAATGGTAGTGAAATGTGCTCTTTGACGAAGCAAACGCAGGATATTTTGAGGGCTACTGAAATGGATTTTTGGCAGCGATGTGCCGGTTTCTCGAGACGGAACCGTGTCCGCGCAGTCCGCTATGGAAGACTTAAACGGACCAGACCACGTGATGACGGTTAAAAGTGATATCGTGCACGACGTTAAGTCCAGGCAGTTAGTCTGATGTGGACATGGACATGTGCAAAAAATGAGGGATGAGAGATACCCCAAACAAGTTTTGGATTGGGTACCACTTGGGAAAAGGTGACATAAGGTTTCGATCTTTTTTTAAAAGGCCCGTACAACGCGTGCATTTATCCGAAATTATGTTCGTGTTTGAAAAATTCAAGCCCTTTGCAGTGATAAGTATACCTACAAGGATGCATCCACGAAAACAAGCAAGTCTCGTGGTTTAGACTTGCTTAAAATTTCAAAACCAAAAGTCTAAGAATGCAATAATTCTTAATACCCACATTGGGCTTATTCAGCCAAAACGATTTCCATGATTTCAAAATGTTAATATCACGCATCACTGCAAATAATTCAGCCACAAAAACACGTCACTATCATTATTCAGATTTGCATAAGTAATTTTGAAGCACTCGCATTTTGAGGGGCTGGAGTGGGCAATGGGTCGCAAACACTTGCTTAACATAAGATGATAATCATAGTATTTACGCAACTTCAATTATTTATTTCCACACCTCAAACTTCTCAAGCATTGAAATTTTAATCTCAGTAACGTTTCGAAATATTTTACTCAAAATGTTTCAATACCGAGAACATGTTTATCGTAGCTTTTATTACATACGTAGTACATACATATCAAGCCGCTTTCACCGTGCTGCAACTTCCAAGTCCCGATCGCCAAAATCGATTATCAAATATCGATATCAAATCGATCATCTCCCAGATCACCAGGAAAAGGACACTGATCTATTCCTTAGTCGTAGATTTTCCTAATTTTCATAATTGATCCATATACCTCTTTTGTAGCGTCACAATTTATCCAACAGACTTACTTGTTGTTTTTTGCGCGAAATACCTAAAACTCACACGTTTGCGAGCAGAGTGAGTCATATCTAAATTCTAACGCTACTTCACGTTAATCTCAGGAAGAGGCACTGCCCGTATCGAAGGATTCAAACGCTTTCGCTACTCTCGTGAACTTGAGGCAGTCACGGAAACATCCTATCATTTAGGATCATAAATCAATTGAATAACTGTACAACAAAACAACATTGTCAAATTTTAGGAGATGATTTGATTTCCTCAAGCTTATAAACACCGAAGAGCTTTCATCACCTACGTTGTAATTACGAGGTGACATCACGAAGTAGGAAGTACTCACACTACAGACTACCCGCCTCGTCCGAAACACACTCTGACCTCGTCCTCTAAGGATTTTAAACCCTACTCGAAGTCAAGACGGGCTTCAAAGAAATTCGGGATTAACGCTGCGATTGCAAACAAACTTGCATCTTATAAGAAGAGCCGTAACTCCGACTTGTTAGCGATAAAGTTGCTTTGAAATAACCCGGTAACATCTTCAAAGGCAACGTCCCGTTCGTCCCCTTTTTAAGTGCGCCCCAGAAGTTGCCTCATTCAGACTTTCTTCTCTGCTTTGGACAGTTTCTCTTTGGGATTTTCACACGGTTTGAAGAGCCTTTTATCCCTGAATGCAATGCACTAAATACGTTAGTTAGCTCGTTTCAGTCGCAGAATAGCAAGTTCGTCAATTGAACTTTCGACCGTGCCACTCAATTTCATCTCGTGCGCAATACTTGATTGATAGTGAAGCTTCACTTTAACGAATTCAAATATGAGTTTGTTAGGCATTTCGGTGGTTTTGGCGGTTCTGGGGGGTAGTTTTTGTTCGGATGATGTTCGGCGAACAAGTTCGGAGCGTTTGGAGCGTTCGGCGATCAAAGATGACTTTGCGACCGATTTGGACGATATCGCGCTGAATTTGGATTTACACTTCGAGGATTTCAAAATGAAGTTCAAACGCAAATACAAATCGATTGCTGAGGAGCAGAGGGCGTTCCGGAACTTCCTGATGAACATCAAGGAAGCCCGGGAGTTGCAAGCATCAGAGATGGGGACAGCTAAGTACGGCGTCACGGACATGTTCGACATGTCCGTAGCGGACTTTTTGACTCGACGCGCGAATCTAAACCCAACGGGACTCGAAAAAGGGTTTGAGCGTTTGGAGGAAGTGAAGTCGAAGCGGTTTGGTGAGAATCCGAAGGCGCTGGACTGGCGGCTTGAAGGCAAGGTAGGTGACATTTCACTGCATAATGTAAAGAAAACCATTCATTGAAAAAAAGTGAAGTTTATTTAACATTCTGGATGTAAAATCAGTGTGCGAGAACTTACAAAATGCTTAATTAACTGCTACTGCAGTTAATTCAGTAGTACTTTAGCAATGTCAAGATGTTTAACTAATTGCCGTAGCGGGTAATTCAGCATTCTGTGAGTTCTCGCACACTTTTTTTTTTACATCCAGAATGTTAAATCAACTTCATTTTTTTTCGGTGTTTTGAGGGGCTTGGAGGACAGGGCGTATAAGTGCAGTTTCTGCTATTTCGAGGAAACACGTGTTTGAAGTTTCGAAATCAAATGGATTCTCATGGAGGAAAGAAAGTTAAAACTGACCTTTCGATGTTTTAAATTGGAATTTGGGAGCAAATTTTACACAGAATATGTATTAAGACTAGTTTTACTTGAAATCATTAATAACTCAATTTTTTCAAAAACTGCGCTTGTGTGCCTTGTCCTCAAAGCTCCTCATTTTATATTCGACCGTTCTCAAGGAAAGCAACTCGGAGCCACAAACACTAAAAATTTAGTTATTACACAGCTGTAAAAGAAAGTCTCTCGGATAAGATCGAGAGTCCAGATTCTTTAAGAAATTGACAAGAAAAAGTACTCCTGATCCAATCTGACTTTTCTTGGATTGAGAGTCAAGCCTCTTAATTAAGGTGGATTTCTTTTTGATTCGAGCAAAAATCCGATTGAATAAAGAGTGTTTTTTCTTATCAAATTTTTTAAGGGCCTGGCCTCTGAATCCAAGACACTTTTTCTAGTGCGATTTCAGATCAAGCTATAAACATTTTTAGCAAAAAAACACTCCAAAAAAGACTTACCGTCGTGGCATTATGGCAGTCTGAAGTTTTAAGTTCGAAAATAGTACTTAGAAAGAAAGACAGTATTTCATATTACATAATCCGCCATGTACACTATCTTACTTCTAATGAACGAATTGGCGTTTCTATTTATGGAAAAAAAAGTCAAAGCGTTGCAGAGAATATTTTCGAGATTCTTCAAAACTTCTTAACACGACCAACGAAAAATTCGACAGAAACTCGAAAAAAAACCACATAAACTCATACGTAACAGTTTGCTCTACAAGCTCCACCCCCTGTAATGCCGCGTAACGCTGGCAAAGCCTCCCTTCCCTCTTCTCGGAGCATTGTAATTTAGGGACGGCTCCTAAGATTGTCTATGAAATTTCGGCATCACCACTCTGCCGTGCTAAGGAAAAATGCCGTATGAACATTCGAGAGTTGCCAAATTTCCTTCAATAAGATTTTCATTTTTGAGGTAGGTTATAAATATTTGTCCTTGAAATTTTCAGGAACTTCAGGTAAAATTGCGAACAAAATTATCTGAAAAATTGGAAGGAAAATATTCATAAGTTTAGCAGGAAATTCGTGTTTCATCAAAGTAAATTTGGCAACACCTGAAGGGTCATACGGCGTTTTTCCTTACCGCGGCAGTATAATGCCGCGTCACGCTGGCAAAGACCCCATCTCTCTCCCCTTAGAGCGTTGTAATTTAGGGACGGCCCCTGAGATTGTCTGTGAAATTGTGGCATCACCACTGCTATTTGTTGTTACGTTCTATTTTTTCTTTCAAGGTCACCAGAGTAAAAGACCAAGAACAATGCGGATCATGCTGGGCTTTCTCAGTCACGGGACAACTCGAGGCCGCAAACCTGATCACCAACCCCAACTCAACCCTCACGACCTTCTCGGAGCAACAGTTAGTCGACTGCGACCCCGAGTCAGCCGGGTGCTTCGGCGGATGGATGGAGTACGCTCTCGACTACGCCATGGGGGCCGGCGGTCTCGAGTCGGACACGACCTACCCCTACGAAGCCAAGAACGGCGCTTGTAGATTCAACAGCTCCCGGGTTGTAGTCCGAGTCACCGGCAACAAGAAGTTGCCGCAACGCAACGACAAGGCGATCGAGGACCACGTCGCGAACGTCGGCCCCGTGTCGGCGGCCATCAACGCGAAGTTGCTGCAATATTACAAGGGTGGTATCATCAAGCAGCCGATATGGAAGTGCTGGAACGGGGATTATGATGTGAACCACGCGGTGGTTATCGTGGGCTACGGGGTAGGGAAGATCGGGCTGTGGAACGTCCCCTATTGGATCATCAAGAACTCGTGGGGGTCGAATTGGGGAGAGAATGGGTACGCCAGGATCGCGCGGCGCAGGAATCAGTGCGGTATTGAGAATTGGGTCAACGCTGCGGAGGTGGAGAAACTGTCGTGAGCTTAACTCAAAGCCGATTTTTTTTTCAAGCTCAAGATGGAGGATTTTAAATAGTTATACGGAGTGAATGGAATTTATTGAAACTTTTTCGAAACACTCAGGAGGTCGTGAGTCGCTTAAAGACAGTAAAAACTCAGGTTTGAAATTTTTAAAATGATTCGTCGTTTCCTGCACCAGGAAGCGTAACTCCATTCCAAGATTGAAAAATTGACCTAAACAATTCATTTTTTTTTACGAACATGTACCTGAGCTATTTTGTTCCAAAATTTGTCTGAATTTTGCTCGAGATTATGAGAAAAATCAGTGAAATTTTCAGTTTGAAATATCCAAATTTTTCCAGATAAAAATTTAATATGCGAGGAATAATTTTGCAACGTTGAAATGTAGTTACCCTCCTTTGTCCATAAGACGAGGAATTATCACGAGACCAACTTCAAAGCTCATTCTTTAATTCTTAATTTTTTGTTGTGGACGAGGTCAACTTAAAACACGATTTTTTTTGTAACTTCAAAGATGGCAAATTTTATATAATTTTACGAAATGAACGCAATTTTCTTAAATTTTTTCTCAAGAGAAGGCATGCATCGTTTTTAAACAGTAAAAACTCAGTTTTGAAATTTTGAAAATTATTGTCGTGAGTCCAACTTTGAAGTTCATTCTTTAACTATCAATTTTTTGTAGTGGATGCAAGGTCAACTTAAACACAATTTTTTTGTAACCTCAGAGATGGATACTTTTAAATAGTTTTACGAAGTGAATGCAATTGATTTGTATCTTTAAGATACTTCCTCTACATATTTTTTGTGGCAGAGAAAGAACTCCATATCCAAAAACCTCAAGACTGGCACGCCGTCAAACTTGCAAACCTTTTTCTCATTTATCGTTTATTTTTTTCAAGCAGTGTATAGCCTTTCCTCGTGTTGTTCACGCTTCTTCGCAGATGATGAGTCATAAATAATGCCGCGTTTAGAGACTATTAAGATATTAAGACATCCAAAATGTTAATATGACATTGAAAATATTATCATCTTAAGAGTACTTGAACTTGAAATATAAGCTGAGACACCAACCATGCGATCACACTTTACTTTTAGAAGTAACGATTTGTGCTGGCATCATACTTAACGATTCATATTGAGCCGTTTTCATACACGATTTAGGAGTTCTCTCATCTAAGATATACGGACAACTCTTGAAATAGGTGCATTGTGCGGATGCAGACAATAAATCAAATTTAAACCGACTAATATTTTTTTAAAAGTTATTTAAAAAAACTCATACAAACTTTACAAATACGATGGTTAGATTTTTTTCCTACATTTCCTCCCATGAATTTTATGTAAAATTATTCCTGAGAAGATAAAATTTACAATTTTTCCTGTTGCAAAATGTACATTGCGTTATTTTAAATTGTATTTCCTTCGTGAGTTGTTTGTGAGTTTCTACTTATGAAATACACAACTTATGTTTTCACGAGTTTCACAAGTTCATGTAGATTTTACATTTATACCCGCATTCATTACGGTTATTATGAAGGAACAGCTATTTATCTTGTACATACCTATTCCACTTACCGTGGACTAGTTGTTGATTGTCGTAATTAATTAATTAATTAACTAACTAACTACTCAATTCTGTGAATTGGCTTTAATTGTTCTAGCTTTAATACAAATTGTGAAGGAAACGCAAATTTGTTTCTCTACATATATTTTGAAGTACATACTTAATTAAATGGATACTGTAATTTTTATTTTTCGAACCTTCACCTCCAATGCGCCTTATATCACCCTTCATTGGAAATGAATAGAGACCCTCCACTGTTATTTCGGGAATGGTGAACTAGAGGGCTAGGAAAGCTACTCTCATTGGTGTAAACTTTCAGAAAATGGTTTGCATCATCATCAATTCTATTTATGCTTACAAAACCATATATTGATAAAATACCTTTCCAAACCGTGGGCATTCAGCTTAGTTTTGTTGCGGGTGTAATTATCTTAAAACTCGTACCTCTAATCAAGACCAACATATTTATTTATTTTTCCTCAACTTAACGTCACTGTAATAATTTATTATATCCGGCGTGGGTTTTATACTCGCTTCGAGGATTGCGTGCCTTTTTAAAGGCTTCTATTGCAGGAGCAATCTGAACTATAAGTTTTCTATTCTGAAAATGTAGCCTGTTTCCTCTCCTCTTTCTGCTCATTGTTCGACTGCCACACCCGTTCCTCCCTAGCTTGTAATACTCGTCATGGAATTCATTGTTTGCTTTTATTTAGCCTTTGTCACGATATATTTTCATTTTTATCCTCCCATCAGTTCATGTCAGATCGTGGATTTGCATAGAGCCAGGATAAAAGATATTGATTTTATCTTTTAACCCCTCTACTCGTATTTTTGAGTTCAAAGGTGCACTCATGCACTGTTCAAGGAACAGCTTTGGGTTGAAATGATAAATCGAAAAAAATTGTGATACCTACAGCGAGTTTCTTACCTTTTCTCATAGAACTTAGGAGTATTACAAGTCATTTTGCGAATATTATTTTTCCAATCGTTTTATCATAGATCATGTGTTGCTTTTTTTGTTGCTCCAGACACTGATTTTTTAGTCCCGGTATTTTGTCTGATTAGACAAAATTGAAAATTCAATTTTGCCTGATCCAATCTGGTGAATCCTGCAGTACCAGAAAAATTTGTGGAAAAATGAATGACCCTTTGTCTGATCAAAATGTGCAAAACGTGGTTCAAAAGAAGCCAGACTCCACAAAAAAAGTCATGCAAAGTTTCGCCTTTTAAACCAATGTTAATCGTAAACACATATCTTGTTTGGGAGTTTAATTTCGAGACTTTTCATGCGTGAATCGTTTTCCTCGTGGGATTTTGAAGAAAATATATAATGCGCAGTGCACTAATTCATGCTTTGTCTGTCGGTCCAACTGCTGCCTTTTTTCTGTAAAAATATCCAAGCAATGGAGAATTTCCACGTAAATTTTTCATTGTTTCATCTAAAAGTGCTCAAAGAGCTGATTTTGGAGTATTTTTGTAATTTTTTTAAAATAGGAAATAGTATAAAAATAGATTTAAAAGCAAAAATGCACTACTTAGTGACGTCATCCGGTGGCATCTCCCATTCAAATACATTTATTGCAGCAGATAAGACTATATGTTGTCATACTTTCTCCAGTAATTCAGGATTTTTTCGGTAAAAGGGCGTGTGACGCTTACAATTCTGCTAAAATTGTGCAATTTTTCATGACGTTTGCGGCAGATGAAACTTTACAGTCACGACTTACTTCCTTACAAAAGTAAGGAATCAGTTAACTCCAGCACACTGAAATAAATGGATCTCTGATTTAAAAATTAAATTGTTAAAAAATATGTCCGACACGTTTCAAATGTACATGTTACAATAGTAGAAAGCTAATTCAACTACGGAGGTGGTTAAATTACCGTTTTGTATCGTAAAATCTACATTGAAACATGTCGGACACTTTTTCAACGACAAAATTATTAAATCAGAAATTTTATTTTCTCCGGGTAGTTTCCTTTTAAATACGAAATTCATCAAATTTCAGTCACATGCAAATTCTCCATCGTCTCTTCAAAGCTCGTTAAACTCAAAGCATTCCACGCACCGAAGGCCGGAAAACGCTTTGCGGGGTACAAGCTGTCACCAACTTATTTGATCCCCGGCACAACCTCGCATTCCGGAGGGCCGCGGTAATTTCGCAACCACACCAGGCAAGAAAAACATTATCCTCGTCATATCGCCGAGCCTAAACTGCCTAAGTCTACGACCTTTAGGAAAAAAAACGAGGACGCTCGCTTAGCGGCCGTGTCGCACAGTGGATCGGGTCAATTCGAAAGCTCGAACCTGAAATTGTTGACTAAAACTGGAAATTTTGACGCTTATATAGTCACAATTTATAATTCGAGGGGTGCTTATAGAAGAAAATTTTACGAAGAATCTAGCGTACCTTTATATGGAGAGTATCGATTTATGTAGCTCCTAGGACCCAAAAGAGCGGCAACGTGCAAAGCGAAAATCACTTGAAAAGTGCCGCTACCAACCTATGCATTTGGAAGATTCATCAATAGGTATGGCCGACAGCGCATTGTAAACAAGTTCCTTTAAGGATTCAGACTTTGAAACTGAGGAAATTTATGCGAAACCAAGTTTTATAGGTGCTTTAATAATTTTTGATCAGTGTAGTACCAGTACCTACGACGGATAGTAAGCATTGGGAAAATTAGTACTACTGAATAGTTCGAGTTCATAGATTGGCTGCCCTTTTGGCCCGCGAGAGCTACATGACCTGATCAAACCTAACCTCCAAATTTTCGAGTTTTCCATACTCTTTCTGTAAAGGTATTCTAGAGGAAACCATTGGAAGCACTCTTAGAATCCCAAAGTTTTGTACACTAAAAAAAAAGGTGTGGTAGAATTTACCATTCCTTCACGCTAAATTTCACACGGCGTGAATTCAAAGTCGATTCTGCCAGAGGAATGGTTATTACTTGTACCAGTACATACAATAGTAACGTTTACCTTTCTCCAGGCAGAATTTACTCTGAATTGACGCAGTGTGAAATACAGCGTGAAGGCATGGTAAATTCTACCAATCTTTTTTTTCAGTGTATACGCGATGTTATAGGCGTTTAAAGTTTCCAAATCTTGTCCGACCTCTCCACTAAAAAAAAATTCTCGGCGTTTTTACCACGGTCCGTTGGTACCTTTACGATCTCACTTTTTTTTACCAATTATTGGTAATTTTACCAAGACAGACTGGTAAGCTTACCTAAAAACCGGTATTTTTACTGTTTTTTCAGGTAAGAATACCACTTTTATTGGTAATCAATTCCCGGTAACTTTGCCATTTTATCTCGGTAATTCTACCACAGTCGCTGAAAAATATTGGCGTTTTTACCAAGGTCCAGTAAAATTACCGAGAAAGTTCAATAATTTTACCGAGATTTCTTGGTAAAATTACCAATTCCATAAATGGTCATTTTACCAAGAAAAAACTGGGATCAAATAGAACCCTGAATTCCTTGTTAATTTTACCCCTTTCTTATAGTAAATACACCGATATTTTTTTTTTCAGTGTCCTATCGACTCGATCCACTGTGTGCCGTCGCGAAATTGACGAACTTTTATCTCGCCCCACCCCCGAGCTCGCCTCGCGGCGGAAGGGTGAGG